AACTTGTGTAGTCGACGTCCTTGAGTTCAGCAGCCTGCAGCCATCTTTTCAGAAACAGCCCTGCGTCAGGATCAGCTTTGTTCTGACGGGCTGTGGCCATGTAAACATCCCGCCACTTGTCAATCCCTGGAAGTGCCGGCGAGCCGCGCATCGTGGAATATATCGCATCTTTGACGCCGATCAAGCCACCTGCCTTGCAAACTCGCCTCATCTCCTGCAATGCTGCGACAGGCTTTGACAAGTGCTGCAGTACTTGGTGGGCATAAACCACGTCAAAGGTTGCATCTTCGAAAGGGAGGTCGTAGACACCTCAGCTGTCGGAGAAAAGCCGGCCTTGCAAATCCCGAGCTTCCCTCAACCCGAATCGAGAAACTCAGGGTCCGGCTAGCAGTCCGGAATTCGATGCCTTCGGCCCCATTATCGCGTTGTGCCTCTCGCGCCTGTGCGATCACAGACTCAGAATTATCCACGCCCGTCACGGACTTGACATACTTCGAAAAGCCACGGGTGATGGAGCCCGGCCCACATCCCACATCCAGCAGCGCGAAATCTGCTTCCAAGTGAGGTATAAGAAAGTTCGCGCAGTTTTCGACGGTCCGGGCAGCATGCTGAGCAACAACACTGCTGTGATGCCCATGCGTGTATCTGTCTGCTGCCATTGTCGAAAGCACAAGCGACGAGAGGCTCTGGCGATGTCCGCGACCCTTGCAACCCCGACCAAGTCGTTGAGCCCCAATTCCTGCGAAGTCCTGCTGTTGCTTCTTGAGCCACCCTTCGAAAGGCTAACCGTCTGCAGAACCCGACCTGCACCGCAGTGTGGTCTCAGATCCGAACCACAGGCAGAAGCATCGAACGCAAAGGTTCGGCCCTGCCATGCGGATCACCATATTCGCACTTGAACGCGACATCTGTAAACAGCAAGAAGCTTGCGATGCCAGGAGCCTTGGGCGACAGCAGTCCGCACGAGCTTAGATGGACGTATGGCCTCATCCAGGTTTCCAGCAAATCTTCGGTAGGTCTGCAGCGGATCACCAATCAGGAAGCGAAGCTGAATTGAGGGAGCGACAACACGACAGCACTATCGACTCATATTGGATGTGTAGGTAGGAAGTGATTTCGATCGGGCGATGACTCTCAGTCACAGCACACGCTTCGAACATCCCGCTCGAGCTGCCGCAATGTGGGCACTGCAGGCAGTGCCTCATATTGGAACTGAACCTACAGCATTTGGACTAGCAGCATGTTATGTCCACTTTCTGTGCTCTGGTTGGACTCGCGCATTGTCTAGTGCTCTTGGCTTCTTCACTGTCACGCAGAGGATGCGTGCTGCTGAAATCCTCCATTACCCTGCTTCTGCCCAACACTGCATTTAGTTTGTATTTCTGTGTTCATCTATGTCTAGTCTACCTTCCCTCAGCTGTGGGCTCAGATGTCGTGCTCCATGCATGCCAGATGCATTCGTTCGTGCGCTGCTAACATACATGCAGACATGCCTGAACATGCACGTGCAATCATGCACAAAACCACCCTGAAGCAGGGAAGGACTGCAGACCTTGAATGATCTTCCGACTGCTGTGTGTTCGGACCATGCTCTCTGCAATGTGTGGACACCCGCAAGAAGAAGCTCAGAGCAGCACGCAGGGTTCAGCTGGAGGTTCCAGCTGTTGCAGAGCGCGAAGGGGATGGGCTCCCAGCCGCCCGTCCAGGACAAGTTGGCACTGGCAGGTTTGCTCACAAAGCTTCTGAGTCACAGAACTTACAAACGATTCACAGCGTTCTGAAGTATGGCCGCTACAGTATTCCAGAACGGGAACCGCTGACTGAGACCTGCCACTTAACCACTTGGTCCACTTGAACCTGTCCGAATGCTTCAGATATACCGCATTATACCGCCACTGCGTTTTGCCCCACTTGCACCAAACCCAAAACCCCGAACCGCTAGACCCGAAATCCTGAACCCTAACCCTAACATCTAACCCTCCCTAAACCCTAAAACCCGTCAAACATAAACCCCCAAACCCTAACCACCAACCGCTAAACCCTAAACCCCTTAATTCCTAAACCCCACACCCCTAAACCCCAACCCTAACCCCTCAACCCTAAACCCGAGCAAGTGGCGCTAGCGGCCCCCAGCCCACCAAAGTCGTAGCGTTATCCACTGGTCAAGCGGTCAAGTGGCTCAAGCGGCGTGCTCGGATTGGCGGCTCCAGAATCCCAGGGCAATGTGCTGCTACTAATATCCGGCTATCCCCATAAAACAATCAAAAACATACGCTTCATCAATGTTCTTGAGGAGCCCTGTATACACACGCCAAAATCTCTGACATATGATGCTGCGTATGCAGACTATGCCTCCCTTATCACAATCGCAGTGTCAGAACAGGCGAGCAGCACCAAGCATAGTTCACGACAACCAGCGAGGAGGCTCCCTCAACATCGACGCTGATGCACGGGCCCTGTGCAGAAGAAAGGTTCTGAGCAATCACAGACTTGGCCGAATCGCTACCGCTTCTTCGCTGTCATAGGAACGAGAGAACTAGAGGAGCCTTGAGGCCATGTACAAAGGAGAAGCGGCCACAGGCGATGCTGCCACCACCACCTGAGGACAGCGCGCCATGAAACTGATGATACCATCCGCCCACAAAAAGAAAGGAGCACGTGGCATTCGGGGCTCCCTTGAAATGTCTTCGCCGGCATACAACCTCAGGCCACGGCCACACACTCCGCCCGCACTGATGTCCTTGGGTGTCATTGCCCACTCCACTGGCGGAGGGTTTGCGACGTACCTTGCAAACCGGTGCAGCACTTGGCTCTTGGGTGAAGTTCAATGCCCATGGTGTAAAACATTACTGCCCATGGCGCACACGCCGCCCCGACTGTTCATCAGAGTGTTCGCTCGGTAGCCGTCCTTCACGAGCGCCTGTGCTTGGGGAATACATCATCGTAGAGCCCGTTCGCCAGCCAGCATCGGAAAGCAAGATATTTTCAATATCGACGTGGCTCTGAATCAGGACTTGCAACAAACTCAACCGACTCGTGTGGCCTCGTACCCCGTCTCCAAGGTGAGACGATGGCCGGGGTCCATGCCTCGTATGGATCAGCTTAAACTACAGAACTCCTGGTAGATCAACAACTGCGCAATCCAGCTTTCTTTCATCTCTGGTGCCTCGAGTGACTCTGGTGACTAAGTGCCAAGCCGGAAGCTTCTGCCCTCGAGATCCGAAAGGCAGTGCAGTCGAAGAGCTCAATGCCTTCGATGAACGCACCTCTGCCCGCGACGTGGTGCTTGCAGCGCACCATCTGTGCCAATTCTGATTTGCATTCACAAGTGTGGCTGGGTCGTGGGTCGATCTTGCCACTCGATCTTCGAACACCCGCTAGCACCACCCGAATTGCAAACCCTTCATCGACGCCTAAGCCGCTAAGCCGCTAAGCCGTGACTGTTACGACAGAGTGAGGGTTAGAGAGAGAGAGAGCGAAAAAAGAGAGAGAGAGAGAGAGAGACAGAGAGAGAAAGAAAAGAGAGAGAGAGAGACAGAGAGAGAGAGAGAGACAGAGAGAGAGAGAGAGAGAGAAAAAAAAACAAAAAGTGAGAGATGAAGAAAGAAAGACAGAAAGAACGAAAGAAAGAAATCCCAGTTACTCCATGGTGCGCCTGCGGGGTCTCAGCTACCGAACCATTCACGACTTGTCGACTCAAAAACCCCTTGTTTTGAGGGTTCGTCCACGAGGACTTCAGGGCATGATTATGTAGGATGTAGGGCGACGTTATGTAAGGTTGGGGGTTACAGGTCGGTCCTTGGAAGCCAGACTGCACGCACTCAGGTGCCACTTGAGGCTACCACCGTGCATGCAGCACGTCTTGCCATTCTGCCAAGCCTGACGCTGATCTGAGGCACTCGGCTGACATCGCAGAAAATCCCTGAGTGAGGGTGCCATGATATCGTCTTCGTAGACCATCTCGTGCTCCCATCTCATCATGGGGACCTTCGGTCGGAATGGCATGACACGCAGGACCATGAGCCAGCAAGCGAGGTCCCGGCGCTCAGCGCGTAGTCTGGACCAGAATTCATGGCCAAAGCAAAGCCAAGGGTATCTTCCCTGCACGGTTACCCGATCACGGCTCAGGGCAAGCAAGCTTCTATCTAGGCCTTAAGCTTTCCACCCGCATTGCTGCGAGAACATGACATGGAAGAGACTGGAACGTGGGCTTGGTGATAGGTCACGTGTTCGACTTCTGATATTTGGGGAGGCAGGTCTTGCGGCAGTAACAGGCTTGGGTCGAGCCGCTTGGTTTGGACTGCCGATCTCCCGATTCAGCTCCACAGGGAGAGGAAAGCAGTCAAGACAGTGCTGAGACTCCGACGTTCCAGGCTGCTTGGTGCAGGCAGTTCGAAGAGCAATCCGCTGGGTCTGGGCAAACCGAACAGTCCACCCGGCATGCTGGCTCGCTGAAAGACACTGCGTGCCCCCGCTACATCTGCATCAGCCAGGAGAAATAGCGGCGTAAGGTGCCCACATTTACCATCTCTCGATTAATCTTCTCTTCCCAGTCCCGGGGCATCTCCATGTATCTCTGCTCCTGGCTCCAGGCGGAAATGCACTCAGAGTGTGGAATGTGGAGCGCGGCGGCCATTCCTGCACTGTGCTCTGCTTGTAGCGGGTCATCCTCTCTTTGGCCCACTGTTGCAGTGCCTGCAAGGACAGGGGCGAAGGACGGAGGCCTGAACTGGAAGCTTGCAACCGGCTGCCGCCAAGCCCTGGCTAGGCCGCTGGCGAAGCCACACGGGCTTACCGGCTCCTCTCAGCATCGAAAGTTCAAGCACTGACACATCGGTTCTTCAGCAATCCCCTCCTGCTCTGCAGCGACGATGTTGTTGAAAAAACATGTCAAGCAGTAGGCCTGGGCAGGTTCTGGGGGAGAACTGGATCCAGTATGTAAAACATTGGTGGGCGTCAGCGTCAAATCAGGTCCAAAATCGAAAGCATACATATCCTCTACCTGCATACACTTCTGTCTACCTTGCATGTAGCATGTGGGACCCCTGCACAACCCACAGACGAAAAGCGGTGATGAAGCGCATCGGCACCTGAGCAATCAAGAATAAAATGACGGACGAGAAGCAGCTGCTTGCGCGCTGAGCACACCACGAGCAATCACCAGGCGACCCGGTCTCATGGAGACCTTGTTTTTGAATGTCGATGTCGTCGATGTGTGACACCCATCATGGGGAGAGTGCGACTCCGACCTCGCCTGCATGGACTCGGCATCCTCGTCCCAGGGCTTCAATTCGAGCGTCCCGTTCCTTTGTTGCAATGTGGCAATGCTCCTTCGGCTGAACATGGCCTCCATCCGCGAGGTATGGATATCAAGCCAAGCTCAGTCGTCGGCTCGGGACCCAGGCACCAAATGCAGATTAGCCTGCAACACACGCTGTGGTCTGCTGCTTTGCAGATCCCGAGCTTCGATGGAGAGGCCTGTGGCTGCTCATGACTCTCAGCCACTTGCTGCAGACCTCGCAGGGCATCGGAGCTGCGGCATGAAGCACCGAACGGGCTGGAATGTCAGGGGCATGCCAGGCGCTTAGAAACGTTTCTTCCAGCAGGATTTCCGGCCTCCTCGGTCAGTGCCGGACCTTCGGATTTCGGCTTTGCAGCCTGCCATCTCACAGACATTGCAACTCTCACGTTCTCAACAACATAATGTTGAGGTTGTAACAGCAAGAGTAGTAGTAGTAGTAGTAGTAGTAGTAGTAGTAGTAGTAGTAGCAGTAGTAGTAGTAGTAGTAGTCGTGGTGGTGGTGGTGGTGGTGGCAGTGGGAGTGGTGGTGGTGGCAGTGGGAGTGGGAGTGGGAGTGGGAGTGGGAGTGGGAGTGGGAGTGGGAGTGGCAGTGGCAGTGGCAGTGGCAGTGGCAGTGGCAGTGGCAGTGGCAGTGGCAGTGGCAGTGGCAGTGGTAGTAGTAGTAGTAGTAGTAGTAGCAGTAGCAGTAGCAGTAGCAGTAGCAGTAGCAGTAGCAGTAGCAGTAGCAGTTAGCAGTAGCAGTAGCAGTAGCAGTAGCAGTAGTAGTAGTAGTAGTAGTAGTAGTAGTAGTAGTAGTAGTAGTAGTAGTAGTAGTAGTAGTAGTAGTAGTAGTAGTAGTAGGTGTTTTAGCAGCAACAGCTGCAGCAGGAGCACGAGTAGCAGCAGCAGCAGCAGCAGCGGTAAAGATGCAGCAGTTGGAATAATGCTACTTGTAACTACCAAGAATTCCTTAAGACCCTCCGGGCATCACACCCTTGATTGATCATGGTCTTTCGGTTAATGGTGGTGGTTCCTGCTGTTTCCTGTCCTTCCCGCTGCTGCATCAACATCATCGTCATAGTTAGACCATCTTCTTCTTCTGCTTCATCACCAGCAGCATCATCATAATCAACATCGCCGTCATCATCGTCATATCAGCAAATTCATCATCGCCACCATCAGGTGCAGGTACACTACAGCAGAATCGGATACATCGCTATTACTATTACTATCATCACCATCACCGTCACCAACCTTCATTCACAGCAGCCTCATGATCAGTTTCCTTGGGGAGGAACTATGGCATGCTTGAAGCCGGGGCATACATGGGTGCAGCAGGACGGTGCAGCTGCTTGCTTGTGTCCGGCATTGCAAGTCTACACAGGTAGGCTGCATGCCCTTTTGGTCTGTCGCGAATGCTGCTTGCACATGTCACGGCAAGCGTCCTTGCTTCCTTTAGTGAATGAAGATTGCTCTATACTATATACCGTTTACGACTGTCTCGGCGCAACTCGCAGTGGCGATCTCGGGTCACAGGCTGTCCGCATGAGATGACTGCCCTCGCTTGCGCAGCCTCATGAAGCAGCGAGCTGGACCTAGATGTCACCTCAGCTATCTGCTGAATATGCAGAGGACGCTCTTCCCCTTTAGCCTAGGCACTTCTTTGACTGCCGTTTGCCACGGTCGTCCGGGCTGCAGGCTGGTATCTTCGCGAGAGCCAGGTGTGCAAAAAGGAGGTTCGCATATCGCCTGGCGTCATTTCGATAACTCATGGTCCATGGTCATTTAACCCCGCTGTATTCCGCAAGCTCTCCGAAAGGCTGTCAGCAAGAACGCAAGCTGTTTGGTTTCTCGTCACTGCACCGAGGAGTCAAATGAAACCTGCTCAGCACAGAGGCGCAGTTGCACAAAGGACGACTTGCTTGCATGCGTGCAGCATCTGTGAGTTATGCTGCACACGCTTGTCAGAACGACGATGGATGTCCAACTAAGCCTGCCTGACACGATGATGCTATGACGTCTGGCAGCCTGTTGAGATGATAAGCCGCCGAGGCTACTTCAAATGTATGCACCATGCTCTGTGCGGGTGGCTCAGTCTCTCCTCAGTACGGCTGGTATCGCTGGCCGCAACCTTGCAAGTTGCATATCTCTCTCTCACGAGCGGTGTCTCTTCGAGGTCAGCCTCCGCAGCCCTGGACCCACTGGCCATCTCCACAGCCGCCACAGGCGCAGCCGCCAGGGCAGCCGCCGCAAGCAGCATGGTAGCCTTGGCAGCCGCAGCCACCACCGCAGCCACCGCAGCCACCGCAGCCGGGAAAGCCACCGCATCCGCTGCAACCGCAGCCGCCGCAACCGCCGGCAGCGCCGTGGCCCCAGCCACCCTTGCCCCAGCCGTCACCTGCCCAGCAGCTGAAACGAACAAGAGCCGCAATAGCACGCTGTCATGTCACATCCACGCTCTCAAACTCTCTCTATGGCAGAACGTGCCAGAGCGCCTTTCCCTCCTTTCCTTGACCGATCAGCCGGCCGTTCTATCTTGATCTCTTCTGCATCTCCTGGCAGCAGTCAGGCAGTCGCGCAGCGAAAGCCGAGACGCGGCATGCCCGGCATGGCCTGGTCGGAACTTAAACGCGACCATGCCAGCGATGCAGGCTTCAGCCTGGCCCAGTCGTTGCTGGCGCTTTGGGGAGGACATGATCATACATGATCGCTCTTGGGGAGCGGAGTGCCATTGCTAGAATTCAACTGAACTGATCCGCCACTGGTTCGAGGAATCTGTCGCACTCTAACTGCAGACATCACCTTGCAGGCTGCAGTATCGCTACTGGCCATGGTGCTGACAGCTGCCACTTCGCCGACACAGTACGCTACATGGTCAAGCAGGAGAGTGCGTGTTGCAAGGGCATGCCCGTGCGAATCTGAAACATGCATTCTGTCCTGGAAATGTTGACATGGTAGTTTCTCATCACTCAGATAGCAACACTTGCGCGTAAGTGGCCTTACAGAAATGCAAGCGCCAACCTTGGCCATCCGGGAAGCGCTTACAACGGTTCATGCCCATCTGACAAGCGGAGAGTAGTGGAGTCTCCATACAGACCTCTATCTCGCATCGCCGTGACTCATGCGAAGTGAAGTGTGGTGCGGCCAGGAAACGTGCAATCTCTGCCTATGCCTAGCCCTAGCGGCCCTAGCAGCATGGCTCCTGCATCTGCAGAATAGTTCCTAAGGAGCCACCGACTTGACCTCACCAAGGCTGAGCTTCCCAACACACATAAAGCCTCAGGGCTTGGCCGGCGGAAAGAAACCCTCAAAGATGGAGTGTCACGACGTGTAAAGCGCCGAAGGTCAGGAGACCCAGCATCACAGCACTCTAGGCACTGACATTGCAAGAGTTACCAGTGTAACTGCACATGATCCAGGCCGGCATGTCTTCTGCGGACATCTGACATGACACTTCTGGGTCAAAGCAGCTGTCACATCCCGAAGTGCAAACGCCCCTAATCATCCTACATTCTCATCTCCACCTACCATGCACCCTAGCTTCATCAACGCAGCAGCGCGCTGCGATGTCTACTGTAGGAGATCAATTTCGATTACCTCTCGCCTCTGCAGCCGTGGCATAGCGCACAAAGGCACAGAGCTGACCGCTCCTGCCGCACGGCAAAATGCACGGAACAAGCTCTGCTCTTCAGCCCTGCTCTGACTGTGACACTGCCCAATTTGGCCGATCTGGCCACATCTTGTGCAGCCGTCCTGGATCTAGCTGGCAAAATGTTGACCTCGTCAACACTGCCGAACTGGCCAAATGCCTGCCAGCGTTCGAAACTCCAGCCACGTGTGCTCGAAGGTCTGGGTCTGTGATTGCGTCCAGTGCTGTACAGTCTAGTCTTCGTATGGGGCCTTCGTCTTAGCTTGCAGTGCTGCCTTGTACGAGGTGTCTTGAAATTGGCAGGCACTAGGCTGCCTGTGACTCCAAGCTGACAATTGAAGAGTGTAAACGACACCATTCTCCTCGGCTCCACTCGGCTTTTCCTTTTCAGCCTTGCCTTGTGCATCTCGGTCTCGGTGATGTCACCGGGCAAATTCCCAACCTGAGTGTGTGTGTGTGTGTGCACACTGCGCCATAGGAAATCTTCAGTACCCTAGACTTCGAGTAGTAGCTGTGCTAAGCCATGCACCCAAAGCTTCTCGCCCTGGCCAGGCCCTCTGAAGCCCCCTCCGCCTGCATGCGCGAGAGTGCTTTGGTGCCCTAGCCGCTAGCCCATATCCCACATCCCCACCTTTCGGAGCTGGCATTGGCGGGGGCGGTGGAGCTGCCGGGGGCGGGGGTGGAGGCCCTCCAGTTGGCGGCGCCTCTGTGCTGCCAAACCCGCAGGGCGACGGATACATTGACAAGGAGAAGAAACTTGCGTCACAAAGAGCCAAGCTCGGTGCAGGAAGTGGCGGCATCGGTGGTCCCTTGCCACCTGATTGGCCTGCTCGTTTTGCATCAACTCCGACTCCGAATGGCATGACGTCTTCGGAGACCGTTCCGATACTTCTCCTCAAAGGACTGGCCTGCGTGTCCATAGCCATGACCATGGCCCTTATGCCCCTTGTCGTCGCGATGAGGCCTGACGGAAGTTCCCGTGCACTCCCAGAAGACATCTGCAAGACACTCTTTCGGCACAATGCTGGTCCCGGGGCCCCGCAGCCTGGCCCAGCTAACGCGAACCGTCTCCGAGTCTTCGCGAAACTGGTACATGTCCTTGAGACGCACGTCTAGACGGGCCAACGTGGACATCCTGCAAAAGCCGACAATTGACAGTCAACAGTAACAGAAGAACAGTAGGTGCGGCTCATTCAGGACAGCCAGCGCTGCAGCCGCATCCTCCTGGCAATTGCAATCAGGTCACCAGCTCGTTGCCCAAGACGCGAGCGAGCTTCGTCCGAACGGCAGCGAGTTGCAAGCTCGTCTGTGTGTGCTTGTGGCATACGGCGGAAACCCACCAGATGCAATGCAACGGAACGTCCCCCAACAGCAGCCTCCGGGAACCACCCAAAGAAGCGCACAAAAAAGCATCCCCAGAGGGCCTGAATGCCGCAGCAGCTCGCGCACAAGACTGAAGGAAGGACTGCCCCGCGCTCCCCCACGAAAAAAAGGATCAGACCCCACACGTTACAGGACTGTGGCGGGAGCACGTTGCCCGGAACGTGGCCCCTTATAGTCAGTGTTCCATGCCGGGAAGGAAGACCAGAAGTCCTTGTCTACAAACTTGACGAACCCGGTGCGGTCCGTCCTGCAAGTGCCCGCGGGATCAGCACCAAAAGAAGATTCGCGGATTGTCGGCTGAAATCATAACACGTTGGTGGTGCGGGTGGCCTGTCTGCAGCTTTCGACCCGAGGACGATCACCTTGCATGGCCAATTGCATTGCTTGCAGCTGCCATCACAGGTGCTTCCTGCCTCTTCTATTCGGCCGTACACACCGAAGACCTCCCGAAGCTCTTCCTGCCAGCCAGACATGGAAAAAAGCATGCTTGGAACGAAGTCCTTCACGGTTTCAAGGCTGGGCCTCGGCGATGTCCTGTGGCAGGTTGGCCAGGTAAAGCTTCCGGTCTGTGTCCATGACCACCTCACCAAACTGGTCCAAACAAGCAGAATAAAAGCTACCGCCTCCGTGTCATGCTCAGGTCCTGACAGAATGGCTGTAGAACCAGCGCTGCTTCTGCTAACAACAAACACTTGTTCTGGCTGCATGGAGTTGGCTCGATGCTTGTGCTTGCGTGTGGTGATACTCAGGTTGGTCAGACTGTTGGTCAGGCTGGTGCCGTGAACACCCCTGAGTGTCTGCCAGGGGGTTCTGCTACGCTCGTCCACCCGATGTTCCTTCCCTTGAGCACAGCCGGCAGCCACTCAACATGTGCAACTGCTTCAGCACTGTGACACCGTGCCAGCCATGTCTAAGCCAGCACGGAAAGCACGCAAGGCAGTACGAAAACTCGTCATCGAAGTAGCGGAGGGCAGCGCCGTCGCGCCTCGAACACAGCTCGCGAAGTCAGCACAAAGCCAGCAGAGTCTTCCACGCCATCTTTTGTCAGACATGAACCCACTGAGGTCCATTGCACAAAGCTTTCAGTGAACACTGACACCATCGCATGCTCGGTCGTGACACCTGCCGTACACAAGAGTCGTGTTTGTCCAGTGCCGCCGATGTGACATGAAGAAGAGACCACGAGTCGCTGTGCTCTTCGCATCAAGCATAGAGACCAAGCATGACGGCTCAACCGACATCTGCCACACGGCAGGAGCCCTCTTTGCCCAGAAGGCCCTGCAGGTCCAAGTGGTGTCATACGCAGGGAAGTGTTGGAGGGATCCGCTGAAGCCCTCTCCTCGACAATGCCAGCCGGAAGCGAGACCTCACAGAAGCGCTTGGCTGCATCGTCTCAAGCTTCCGAGGGTCTCTCGGGATCAAACGAATCTGCCCTGCTCGTCAACGGCAGAGATGTCCTTCAAAGGCAACCGTATCTGTCACAGCTGCCTTGCTGCTTCCTCTGGGGAGCAGGCGGCCAGTACACTATCAAGATATTCCTCTTCGACCTGAGGGTGGTACTGGACTTAGAACAGAGCCAAATCCAAGCTTCATGATCTAAGCTGTCAACCTCTGGATCTATTATGCAGAAGCCTCAGCTGCGGTGCTGCTTTGCACATAAGCTGCCCCGTTTCAGTCATCTGAGATAGACGCCTTTCACAGATATGTGCTGACATATGCTTCGTCCCAGTGTCGCCTCAGGACACGTCGTGGCAAAACTGCAAAGTAGGCCCTTTTGGTCAGGGGCATCTCCGTGCGCTTGGTGTCCCCTTGTCACGGCCACAGAGACACTCGATGCCTCCTTTTGAATGCCCATGCAAGCACTCTGCACATTTGGGGCAGCTCGTGGAGTGGACTTTCGTGGTGTCTCTCCCTGTTGTCTGCTGACTCTTCGGGCGGGGATCGCTGTCGGTTCCAATACCAAACACAGTGTTGAGCGTGTTCTTCTTCGGTTTTGGACGTCTGGGGCTTGATGAAAACAATGAGATGGAACAGCTGATCCAGAGAACGGGTAAGCCCGCGGCTGTGTCCAAACCCTGTGCTCTCACATCAGGACCAGTCGGCCGGGTCCTAGCCTGCAAAGTCAAAAACCGAAAAACATGCTCCAGCAAGTTTTCCTACACATGGACACCCCACCTTCTGGCGCATCGGCTAACGAAACTTGTCAGACCTGTCAAGAACAGGTGCATCCCTCCGTGCTGTGGACATTCGTGAAGCCCAATCATGCGACGTGTTGTGATGCCTCTGTTCCATAGGCAGCACACGGCATGGTGATCCGAATAAGCGAATCTATCTAGATGTGGGCTGACCTTCTAAACTTGCAGAACTTCTGCTGCTTTTGCTGGCGACAATGCTCGCAAAGTGTAACAGCCGCATGCATGACGAATCGAAGAACATGCATGCGCCTCAACAGCTTGTTTCATCTTGAAGCAGATGCAGTATATACCTGTAACTATAAGCCTGCAGCGACGGGAAGCCACTCGTCGTGGGTAAGGCAAGCTGTCAACGTTGCAATCATGTCAGTGAAAGACAACCCGTGCTGTGTTCACCAAGCCGCTACCAACAACACATGCTATGCATTCGGATCGCACACGGAGGAGCAAGGGGACTCCTGTCAGATTCAGGGATCGAAAGGTGTATAGCTACTGCATAGATCTACTGTTTGTGAGAAGGGCTACCGTCGATCTTCCTCATGATTTTGCTCGCAGCTTGCTGGAGGGTTTTCAGCCTCCTACGAATCCTATGCTCAGCACAGGAAGGTCATCCTACCAACTATATAATGGCGTGGAGCAAGTCAGCACACAGAGCTTCTACGGGATTAGGTTCATCACACAGTCTCCGGCCAGCCACATCTGTTTACACTGCTTCAGACTAGTTCCATGGTCGGGCTATAGTAATCATAGTATCTTCAAGCGCCTATAAACCTGTGCCGTGGCGTGCTGCTGGAGGTGTGCGGTCCAAGATTAAAACTTGCCATTCCACATTCCGGCCAGCGTCTCAGCGCATGCCATTCATCACCTGACATGCGCAGTCACAGACTGCAAGCCCAGAGGTCCCGGCTTCGCTTGCAACACCATCAAAAGGTTTCACAGCTTAGAGGCCTAGAGTCTTTCAGCATGCTCTTCGAACACCGCAGTACAAAGCACAAACTGCTGTATGCTTGTCGACGAGATAGCCTGTCGCTGCGGACATCCAACCGATGCACTTGAGGTGTGGCCAGGGCGCAGGCGTCTCGCATCAATACGGAACATTGAATAGGGCTGCCTCCATGATGTTGCTGAAGACACCAGCAGCGGTGACAGCTGCGCCGGCACCGGGACCTGGCAGTCTAACACGGCGTTTGCTTTGGCAATGGTGCTGAGAAGTTCGGCAGAGCACCTTGGACAACAAGAGGGCGAGGAGTATACCACCTGAGCTCGGACCCTAGAACATATACACAAGCTGCACATGCGCATCCATTGCATAAGCAGGACAGGGAGGGACCGTCACACGACCCAGAATGAGCAACCGGCAACTCTGGCAAATTACGTGGTCAGGTGTTGGGCATGGGCCGCCTCAAACGAGAGAGGGAAAGAGAGAAAGGGAGAGACAAGCAGCCAGACACAGACAGACCACCTACCGCACCATCCCCGAAGCTATCTGGCATCTGGGAGTCCACCTTGAAAGTTATGAAGACGGAGCCGTTGTTACTTATGCCAACAGCGTGGTCGAGTGTGCAACGCCTTACAATACAGGTGAAACGCGCAAAAGCACAGCCACCATCCCCAATGCTGAGGTGCCCTATGACACTACGCTGCTGCTTCGAAATAAGGGGACAGTGCTGTGCAAAGTCGGCAAATCGTAAAGTCGCCGAGGCAGGCAGGCGGCCTGGGGCCCTTTGGTTTATCATTCAGGTTTGTTCGCGACTCAGCAGAACAGCCAAAGTCTAAATCGCTCTTGGATTAGAGTCCGAACTCTCAACGCAACGGCAAACCCAACAGCCAAGCGAACATGGCAAATCTTTCGCCTTCGAAGGTGTGGAAGGCTCGAAACTCTAAAACCAAGTGGTAGGTGGTGAACCCCCGACAACCCAAACGGAATGGACAACCGCCAACCCTAATGAGTTGCAAACTCCAGCAAACCCCTATCCTCCAGACTGCATCTGAAACCCTGAACCCTCAAGCCTGAAATTTTAACCCCAGCTGCGAAACCTGTAAGCTTAAATCCGGGCTATGTAAAAACGTGCAATATCTAAACACCAAAACCGATGACAAGCCCCAGAGCCTGGAAGACCAACCCGAGTCGACAAATCAAATTCAAAAGAACTGACAAGCCCAAGACCGTCAAAACGATGGCAAACGGAAAACCTTGAATCAGCCGTGCGCGTAAAGGCTTCAAGTCAAAAGAGCAGCGAACACCAAGCCCAACAGCGTTGATAGACCCTGACGCCTGCAAGATCTTCAACGTACAGATTTAAATCACGAATCCAAGGGCAAACCTGCACCCTAACCCTAATCCCCTAACAAGGCGTCCGCGGCACACCCGGAGTAAGCAACAGGAGCAGACGACCCTAAAACTTGCACAGACGACATTCGAACCCTAACAAGCTCTGACAAACCAAGCCTACAAGACCATTATGGCGAACTCCGGAGCCTCGACAGAAGTGGCAAGCCCTAAATTCCTGAAAAAAGTGGCGAACATTGCAGGATGAACAGATTGGCAAACCCTACCAGAAATGACAATCTAAGAAGCTAGAATGCATGATCGCAAGTGCCAGACACTGGACCCAGAATCGAGTGGCACGTCCTAAATCGACCACAGCAAGGCGAAGACCCAAACCCAAGCCCTGAAAAGAAACAAGGCAAGCGCCACTCTACAAACCATGACACAAACCCTAAAATCGACAAGATCTGATGGCAAAACCCTGAACCCGAAAAGAAGCAGCAAACCCAAACCGTCAAAAAGGTGGCAAACCTAAACAGTGCAAACTCTGGCAACACCTAAACTTCCTAAACATGGAAAGCCATGATACAACCCTCAGCTCAGAACTGAGCGGCGAACCCTGGCCCCCGACTGGAAAAACACAAAACACTGGTATGACAAGCTGACCCGGAACCCCCCGAGCAGTGACAAAACCAACCGCCAAATGGATTCACGTGGCAAGCGCAAGCAAACAAGATGTTGCAAACATTACACGCCGAAAGGAGCGGCACAGCCCGAACCACAAAAAAACGCAGAAAACTTGGAGCCATCAAGACCCAAGTCAAGTGTTAAACACTGCTGACAAACCCTAAAACAACAGAGAATAAATGCCAAACCCTTAAGCCAGAAGAAGTGGCAAGCCGCGCACCGCCGTCCAACGGTTGGCTACGCCACGAACACGCTCGCAAAACCTAAACCCGAAAAGCAATGGGACCCCACAGAGCCTACAAGACAGATCCAAGTCGCAAAACCGACACTTCAAAAGAACTGACAAGCCCCAGACCGTCAAAACGATGGCAAACAGCGAGAAGCGAGAATGCAAAAACCTCAGTACCAGACAAACCCAAACCCTGAAAGGAAACAAGGCAAGCCCCACACCACAAACCATGACACAAACCCTAAAATCGACAAGCTGTGATGGCAAAACCCTGAACCCGAAAAGAAGCAGCAAACCCAAACCGTCAAAAAGGTGGCAAACCTAAACAGTGCAAACTCTGGCAAAACCTCAACTTCCTAAACCTGCAAACCATGATACAACCCGCAGCTCAGAACTGAGCGGCGAACCCTGGCCCCAGACAGGAGTGCAAGCGATAAAACACAAAAGACTGGTATGACAAGCTGATCCGGAACCTCCCGAGCAGTGACAAAACCAATCGCCAAATAGATTCACGTGGCAAACGGAAGCAAACAAGATGTTGCAAACATTGCAAGCCGAAAGGAGCGGCACAGCCTGAACCGCAAAAACGCAACAAACCTGAAGCCATCAAAAGCCAAGTGTAAACACCGCTGGTAATCACAAACCCTAAAACAACAGAGATTAAATGCCAAACCCTTTAGCCAGAAGAAGTGGCAAGCCGCGCACCGCCGTTCAACGGTTGGCTACGCCACGAACACGCTCGCAAAACCTAAACCCGAAAAGCAATGGGACCCCACAGAGCCTACAAGACAGATCCAAGTCGCAAAACCGACACTTCAAAAGAACTGACAAGCCCCAGACCGTCAAAACGATGGCAAACAGCGAGAAGCGAGAATGCAAAAACCTCAGTACCAGACAAACCCAAGCTCTGAAAGGAAACAAGGCAAGCGCCACACCACAAACCATGACACAAACCCTAAAATCGACAAGATCTGATGGCAAAACCCTGAACCCGAAAAGAAGCAGCAAACCCAAACCGTCAAAAAGGTGGCAAACCTACAGTGCAAACTCGCCGAACCCTGGCCCCCGACAGGAGTGCAAACTACAAAACACAAAAGACTGGTGTGACAAGCTGACCCGGAACCCACCGAGCAGTAACAAAACCAACCGCCACATGGATTCACGTGGCAAACGGAAGCAAACAAGATGTTGCAAACATTACACGCCGAAAGGAGCGGCACAGCCTGAACCACAAAAAAACGCAGAAAACTTGGAGCCATCAAGACCCAAGTCAAGTGTTAAACACTGCTGACAAACCCTGAAACAACAGAGATTAAATGCCAAACCCTTTAGCCAGAAGAAGTGGCAAGCCGCGCACCGCCGTAAAACGGCTAGCTACGCCACGAACACGCTCGCAAAACCTAAACCCGGAAAGCAGTGGGACCACAGAGCCTACAAAACAGATCCAAGTCGCAAAACCGACACTTCAAAAGAACTGACAAGCCCCAAACCGTCAAAACGATGGCAAACAGCGAGAAGCTAGAATGTAAAAACCTCAGTACCAGACAAACGCAAACCCTGAAAGGAAACAAGGCAAGCGCCACACCACAAACCATGACACAAACCCTAAAATCGACAAGATCTGATGGCAAAACCATGAACCCGAAAAGAAGCAGCAAACCCAAACCGTCAGAAAGGTGGCAAACCTAAACAGCGCAAACACTGGCAAAACCTAAACTTCCTAAACCTCCAAACCACGATACAAACCTCAGCTCAGAACTGAGCGGCGAACCCTGGCCCCAGACAGGAGTGCAAGTGATAAAACACAAAA